CTGAGCACTGATGGATGTGGGGGGGGGAGGGATGGGCATGGAGGAGGGCACTTGTGGGGATGAGCACTGGGTGTTATGTGGAAACTAATTTGACAATAAACTATATGTAAAAAAGAAAAAAATAAAATAAATAAAAAAATTAAAATTAAAAAAGTAAATAAACACTAAAAAATAAAAAAATAAAAAAATAAAAAATTTAATTTGAGAGAGAGAGAGAGGAATGAGCACACAAGTAGGGGAGGGGCAGAGAGAGAGGAAGAGAATCACAAGCTTTCAGCCCAGAGCTTGATGTGGGACTCAATCTCATGAATTGTGAGATCATGACCTTAACTGAAATCCAGAGTCAGACGCTTAACCAACTGAGCCAGCCAAGTTCCCCAATACTCATTTAAATAGCAGTGGGTGGTTACCACATCTTTCCAAACTTGTATTTTTGCTTACTTTTCAGTCATCAGCTCTGATTAGTCTGAGCTAATATACAGCTATAGACACACAAGTAAAATCACTATGAAAAATAAATCAGTAACCTAATAGAATATTCATAAAAAAATGGCTCACGGAATAAAGAAATAAATAACTTTAGGATATGTGCTGCCGAAGGGAGCACAAGAAATAAATAAATACCTTTAAAAATTAAATGAAATACCAATATGTAGGAAAAAAAAATTCCTGAAATATATGAAAGTAGAAATGAATGTAAATTTATATCATGTTCTTGGGTAGAAAAACACAATTTTATAAAAGGGTCAATTCTCCTTAAGCTAATTTATAAATTTTATTGGATCCTGATATAGATACAATCAGTTAGTTTTTTGAACTAGCAATGTTACTGTAAAAACCTTACAGAATAATGAACAAATAAGAATAGCTACAAATACTCTTTAAAAAAAACCCAAAATGAATATAGTCAACATCCTGAGATGTTTATTTATCAACAGACATTATATCAGTGAAGTTAAAAAGTCAAAATATGTCAAAGTGCACGAGAAAAGTTAATAACCAGCAAAAACTAAAGTGGGGATAACATCATTAGTGCTTGGTGTTTGGGAAATGGGAATTCCTATCAAAATGACAAAAAGAGAAGTCTATAGGGTAAAAAAAATAATTAAAACATGGTTAAATTCCTCGTAAGACTTGCTTCTCTCCCTCTCAATAAACTATTTAAAAAATTTAATTTTCGGGTATAAAATAATCTTCCCAAACAACTGAGAACAAAGATTTTTAAAAATTGAAATTGCAATAATATTTAGCAATTAAGGGCTTAAGCAAAACGCAGGTGCCATCTGGTAGGTCTCAAAGGCGTTTGGATTTATAATTCATCTCCAGAGGTGTGGATTCGAATGTCAAACTTAAAAAGAAAAAAATTGATGAACGGCCCAGAGGCCAAAATGTTCGTTTGTTTAAAGCAACGCGCCAGCGCTCAGCGCTCACAGCCCAGAGCCCGGTGGGGAACGCCAGGGAACGCAGTCCAGCGAATGGGGAGCAGAAGTGACAATCAGTGGAAACCTTTGACGGGTAAATACCAAACTGCACGTTCCCCACAGGGCAGTTTTGCATTTTGCATCCTGGCGTCCATCACCGACACTGGCCACCCTGGCTTTTGCTTCACTAAACAAGGAGCTGTTGTGTCCGGGTCTCAGTCGCTGCACGAGGACCCCCAGCCCCAGGTCCCCTCGCTGCTCCGCTTCCCCCCGCCGGGGCGCGTCTCCACCGCCGGCTACAAATGTTTCCCCCGGCACCAGGCTCAACTTGGCAAACACCGCCGTTCCCAACAGACGCGGCCCACCCTTCCCTAACGTTGTTCCCAGTCTGGATCCAAACCACACCGGCGGGACTGGGAGGAATCCATAGCAGAACCGGAAACCGCCGGACAGGAAAGACGGACAGACTGGCAGACCGCAGGACGGGGATGATGCGCTGGCCGGAATCCAAATAGCCCAGTTCGCCGAGCCAACCCCGGCTCCCAACAATGCGTCTTCGCCCCGCCTCCGCCCCGCGACGCATGCGCGCTTTTCTACAGACCCGGAAGCGGATCGCGCGGAGCAACGGTCGCGCTCTGTTGAGTCTCCGTTTTTTTGGTTCGTACAAGGGGTCGCACTCCTCAGGCCCCGTCGTCCACACCCAGCTTTCGGGGTCGCCTGGTGAGGTAAAATACTTGAACCCACCCGTCCCTCTCTCCGGGAGTTCGTCCCTTTCTCTTCTCCCGTCGTGGCCATAAGACTTTCCGAGTCCTGTCGCTGGGTGGGTGTCCGGGCGTCTGAGTTCGTTTCCGGTTAAATCGCCCTGAGGAAGGTACTGACCCCAGGCTTACTGCCTTTGGCTCTCTATCATATGTTAGAAGTATTCTTTGATGTCTGGTAAATAACTGTATAGTATTTCATTACACATCCGCTAAGGATGTTGATAATCTCTCAACACTCAAAACCTAGGCAGTTAATTTAATATTCAGTAGTTCTCTTCTTCCCTTACGCGACCTTTTAAATTACTGAGTTCTGAACTGAAGTCTCCAACTAAGTAGATGAACACCCAAGTCCCCTTTGGCTTTTCTGTACAGATGTTTTGGCTTGATGTGGAACTTTGTTCCAGCAGAGCCCATGTGTTCATGGTGCAGAGATTGCTCGGAGTTCATCTTCACTGGTGACACTTTTTCCAGTTTTCCAGGACTAGTAACTATTTGTAATGTCATATGTTTTTCCTGGAAAAGAGGAATTAAATGCTTGTGTTTGATTAAACCCTTGAAAGAGAAGCTTCTCTTTTTCAGGAGTATGAAAGGTAGTCTGGAATTACAACAAGCCCTATCTACTTAAACCTGTCCAGGCCACCATTTCAGAATTTACTTATTCTCAGTTCTGCTCATTCAACTCAGACTTCTTAAGTGTAACTTGGCAAAATTACACCCCGCCCCCATCCCCAGTGCACCCATTTGTAACAGAAGATGATAGACCAAGAATTCTAAACCTGGGCTAATAAGATCCCTGAAATGATTTTCAAAATTGGGTATGTGTTTGTGTTTGGCAGTTTTCTGGGAGAGGGTGTTACCATTAGAGTTTACAATGTGACCCAGTTCCAAAAATAATGAAAACCGCTAAGAAAGAGGCATGACCATAGTCTCAGAGACAGGGATACACCTTTGTCACCTCCACCCTCTCTATGTATCATAGCTAAATCTTAAAAATTTGATCGTTATCATCTTTTGACATTAAACCTTATAGCTAACCATCACCATCAGGTCAAAGATCTAAACTCTCAGTATGGCTACCCTGGAGCTCTGGGGCTGGGGTGGCCCTTAAGAGTTGGTTGAAATTGATGGAATGGACAGGCTTCTGTGTCCTGCATCAACCATTCATTGGATGCCAGCTGCCTAGGGAGGAGCCAAGAACTTGAATGAGGCAATTCCCTTTGGCCCAGTGTCAGGTAGACAGGAAAATGCAATTTCAGTACAATGTGTAGGTTTCAGCAGGGGAGGGCTTTTTGAAGAAGTGGGTGAAAAATGCACTTGGTGGACTCCAGAGACAAGTTAATTGTCCCTTATCCCTCCTGTTGCAGTGGGCAGCAAAGGACTCTTTCTCCCATAGGAAGGTTCTCCCCTTATGTATATTGTGGTAAAGCAAGGGGTTATGTTGATTCTAAACATTAAACAACATACTTTTTGTCACACAGTATATAACCTTACCTGAGAAGACCAGAAGCAGAGGGAGAAAAGGAAGAATGGCTCTTTTCCAGGTAAAAGTCATATTTTTCATTGACTGTTCTTCCTAAAATGTCACATTTTGGACTTGTTAATCTTCTCCCTCTGTGAGGTGTCCTGCCTACAGTGTTTATTCACACCGAGGGCCTTCTCCCAATTTCCTCTCATCTCCGTGCAGATTCCATCTCACTGTGACCCAGTGACGTGGAATGTGGGAAGACGCTCCTTTTAGGTGGTCATGCTGTAAAGGATTTTCTTCCCAGGCAAGGACTAGAGGTGGAGAGTAGGCTCTGTGGTGTCCTTGAGGTTGGGCTGTAAGGATTCTTCAGAGACCCCTTCTGGATGCCCTTCAGGTCATATAAACCAGGATTAAAGAGATTGCACACATAAGTCATATATTAATGTGCACAAATACCTGAGAAACCCTGGCAAATAAGACCGATGGGGGAAGTTTGTTTTTACAAACGTCATTTGATGTTTAACAAGCGAGTCAGTGTGCTTCTGACTCCAAAATATTACTGCTTTGGAACAGAATGGGAAGTTCAAACTAGGAATAAGGAATATAGAGAGGGTGTTTTGTTTTATTAACATGATTAGATTTAAACTGTAGACTCAACAAACTTGTCTAACAGTAAATGTTTTTTATATTATTTATAGCACATCCATCTCATAAAGACCATGGTGTTCTTTTATGAATTCTTACGCTGCACATCTTTTAGATTAAAACGTTTATAATTTAGGGGCGCCTGGGTGGCTTCGTCGGTTAAGCGTCCGACTTTCGCTTAGGTCATGATCTCACGGTTCGTGGGTTCGAGCCCCGCGTCGGGCTCTGTGCTGACTGCCAGCTCAGAGCCTGGAGCCTATTTCGGAGTCTGTGTCTCTCTCTCTCTCTGACCCTCCCCTCTTCACGCTGTCTCTCTCTCTCTCTCCTAGAAATAAATAAAAATATAAAAATTAAGATACTTGTCATATTAGAAAAAATATAAATAAAACGTTTATAATTTAGCCAGGCACAGGAGCAGGATTTTCTGTCATTAGAGAGGATGGTGCTCAATTTCATTTTATGAATTATTTGTAAATGTTATTTTTTTTGTTATAAACCCCTCTAGTGTATATATTTTTTGGTTTCAGTTACACACAGTGATGCAGTTTAGAAACTAAGATGTAAAATATCCCCTTCCCTGTCATATCTTCCACCATCACTGACTGTCTTCATCAGGAACCGATGTTCTCTCTAGTGCCAATCTTGTAAAAATGCTTTTATAAATCGTAATGTGATTTTAGAAAATATTTTTCAGTAAATGTTTTATCCTGATACTTTATTCTGGAAATAGAAATATTTACATACCATATGTCTTGAAATTGTTTTCTTGTTAGTAAATATAGAGGTAACTCCTTGTTTAGATCCTCATTGGAATATTCTCTAAATGAAGATTCGTGGGTCCTTTACAATTTCTTACTGTTACAAAGAATGCCATGGTGGCTGCTTCTATCAGGCAGACTTCACTACAGATATCTAAGGATATGGTATGAATGTACACCTTGAGCATGATTACCATGGTAATGATGGTCTTTCTGAGGAGGCACAGATATTCCACTTACTAAATAAAGATTTTAAACTTTATTTTCAACTGTCTTGAACATCCTCAGCTAAAGGAAAACGTGGAAGAGAACTAAGAAGTAGTAGAACACTGTTTGAACAAATAGGAAATATCAGTAAAGATACAGAAATTATAGTAAAGAGAAGGAATTCTGGAGTTAGAAGAGTATAAACACCAAGTTGAAAATTCACTAGAGGGTTCATCAGCAGATGGACGATAAGTATAAAGAATCAGTGAACCAAAACATCGATTAAGTGAAATTATCAAGTGTGAGCAGATGAAAGGGGTAAAAAGTTGAATAAAAGGGGGAAAAAAAGAAGAAAATTTACCAGAGACTAAGCCTTTTGGGACACTATAAAGAATACTGATATACATGTAATTGGAGTCCCAGAAGGAAAGGACAAAAGAAGAAAGGACAGAAAGGATATTTGAAGAAATAAGAGCTGAAAACCTCCCCAATTTGTTAAAAACAACCTACACATCCAGAAAATCCATTGAACTTCAACTATGACAGATGCATGGCGATCCCTGGCAAGCACATAATCAGTCAACTTTTATAAGACAGAAGAGTGATTGTGGAAAGTAGCACAACAGAAACAACTTCTCATATACAGGGATTCTCAATAAGGTTAATGGCCTGTTTCTCATCAGAAACTATGAAGGCCAGGAAGCAGTCTTCTGAGGTATTAAAGTTTGAAAGATTAAAAAAAAAACTATCAGGAATTCCTTAGGAGGCAAACTGTACTTCAAAATTGATAGCGAAATTAAGAGATCCTAGATGAACAAAAGCTGAGGGAGTTCACACTTACAGACTTAGCCTAAATAAAATACCAAATGGAGTTCTTCATAAATGATGGAAACCAGCAGTACATCAAAGCCATAGGAACAAATAATGAAGACTAGTAACGGTAACTACATAAGTAAATATAAAATGAAGTATTATATTTTTGTTTTCTAACTCATTTTTCCTATGTGTCTTAGAAGACAAAAGTGTAAAACAATAATAAAAATCTCTTGAGTGTATAAAACATCTATTCGTATCTCATACAAAGAATTAATTCTTGTTAATAAGAACATAAAGGGAGACTGTATAACAACAGTTGCTTGTATGCTCTTAAAGCTAAGTTAGTATCATCTGAAATTCATATATTAGCTTAACATGTAAACTGTAATCCCCAGGATAACAACCCAGAAAATAACTTGAAAATAGAAAAATAAATACAAAGTCAATCAAAATGGTATGCACACACAGACATAGACACCCATAGGAGGGAGGAATTATGAAAGAAAATAATAGACATACAAACAGCAGATGTTAGAAATAATTCTTATCAGTAGTAACTTGAAATGTACATAGATTAAACTCTTCAATAAAAGATAAAGGAATTATTTTTTAAAAAATTTTTAATGGTTATTTTTGAGAGAGAGACAGAGCATGAGTGGGAGAGTGGCAGCGAGAGAGGGAGACACAGAATAATCTGAAGCAGACTCCAGGTTCTGAACTCTCAGCACAAACCCTGATGTGGGATTCGAACTCAACCTGGAGATCATGACCTAAGCCGAAGTCGGAAGTTTAACCGAGTCACCCAGGTGCCTCAAGGAATTAATTGTTAAAAATGATTCCACTCTGTCTATAAACGGCTCACTTTATTTTTTTAAACTCTTATAAAAATTTTTTTTAATTTCTGAGAGGGAGACAGAGACAATGCGAGCAGGGGAGGGTCAGAGAGAGAGGGAGACACAGAATCCGAAGCAGGTTCCACACTCTGAGCTGTCAGCACAGAGCCCAACACGGGGCTCAAACCCATGAACCGTGAGATCATGACCTGAACCAAAGTCGGACGCTTAACCGACTGAGCCACCCAGGTGCCCCTAATTTTTTAAACTCTTTATTTATTTAGAGAGCATGAGTTGGGGAGAGGGAGAGAGAGAGAATCTCAAGTAGCCTTCACACTGTTACCTAGAGCCCAATGCGGGACTTGAACTCATGAACTGTGAGATCATGACCTGAGGCGAAATCCAGCTCAGGTGCTTAACCGACTGAGTCACCCAGGCGCCCCAGGGCTCAGTTTAGATACACAAATAGGTTCAAAGTAGAAGGATGGAAAAAGATATTCCATGCAGATAGTAATGAAACTTAGCTTGGTAGCTATACAGATATCAGACCAAATAGTTTTTAAGTGGTAAAATTGTTACCAAAAATGTTGAAGAACATTATGTATTGAAAAAAGAGCCAATCCATCAAGAAGATAAAACAACTATAAACAATATGTACAGAACAACAAAGCCCCCAATTATTTGAAGCAAAATGGAGGAGATAGTTCTACTATACCAGCTGGAGACCTCAATGCTCCTGTTTTAATAATGGATAGAACAACCAAACATCAATAATAGAGGACTGTGCAACACTGTAAACCAGCTAGATTCAGCAGATATATACAGAATGCTGCATCCAACAAAAACTCAAAAATTAGGAGTAGAAGGGAACCTCCTCAGTCTAAAAAAGGGTATTATTAAAATTCCATAGCTAACATCATACTCAATGGTGAACAACTGAAAACTTCCCCCTAATACCAAGAACAAAACAAGTGTGCCCCATTTTGCCATCACATATTAACACTTAGTGGAATTTCTAGAGAAAATACTGAGGAAAAATAAATAAAATGGGTCAAAATTGGAAAAGAAATCATACTATATCCGTGCAATACATGATCTCATATTTAGAAATAAAGAATCCTCAAACTGTTAAAGATAATAAATTCATTGAAGTACAGAATAAAATATCAGCACTCAAAATTCAGTTGTATTTCTATATAGTAGTGTACAACAAATTAAGCAAGTAAACAATTCCATTTACAGGAGCAAGAAAAATGGGAATAAATTTAACAAAGGAAATCAAAGATTTATACACACTGAAAACTACAAATTTGATGGTGAATATTAAAGAAAACCTAAATAAATGTCAGGATATCCTGTGTTTGTGGATTGGAAGACCTTAATATGGCAGTCCTTCCCCAGAGCTATATAAAGAGTAATGCAGTCCTCAGCAAAATCCCAACAGCCTTTTTTTTGCCCAAATGGGATTCCTGGTTCTAAAACTAATATTGTATAGGTAAGGACGCCAAATATCCAAAATAAATGTGAGAAAGAAAATACTGGAGGGGCACCTGGGTGGCTCAGTTGGTTGAGCATCTGACTGACTCAGGTCATGATCTCGCAGTCAGTGGGTTTGAGCCCCGCGTCAGGTTCTTTGCTGACAGCTCAGAGCCTGGAGCCTACTTCCAATTCTGTGTCTCCCTCTCTCTCTGCTCCTCCCCTGTTCACATTCGGTCTCTTTCTCTCTCTCAAAAACAAACAAACTTTTAAAAAAAAATATTGGAGGACCTAGAATTCTCAACTTTAGATCTTACCACCAACATTAAGTAATCAAATGTATAATTCGAGTAGAGGCAAGAAATATATATCAAAGTGATAGAACTGAGCATCCACTATTTATAGTGATAAATCTTCATGACCTTAGGGTTGATTGTGGATTTTTATATATGATACCAAAAGAATAAGTGAAAAAGACAAAGTAGATAAATTGGTCATCATCAGAATTAATCATGTCTGTGCACTGAAAGACATGATCACACAATCTACCAAATGGTAGGAAATAATTTGCAAATCACATATCTGCTAATGGTCTAGAATCTAGAATGTATGAAGAATTTACACAAATCAACAACAAAGTATAAAGAGCCCAACTTATAAATGGTCAAAAGATTTGAATAGGCATTTATCCATACAAGATACGTGAAACAAGCACATGAAGAGATGTTCGATGAAAGTAGTCATTAGTAAAATGCAAAATCTAAACCACCAGGAGATATCATTTCACACCCATTAGAATGACTATTGTAAAACAACAACAACAACAACAACAACAACAACAACAAATAAGTGTTGGTAAAGATGTGGAGAAATTAGAGTCATGACACATTGATGTTAAAATGTTGTAGATGTTGTGGAAAAGAGTGTGGAAGATTCTCAAAAAATTGACCCAGTGACCAAAAAATTGAACCATGTGACCCAGTAATTCCACTCCTAGGAATATAACCAAAAGAGTTGGAAACAGGTATTCAAACTCTTATTTGTACTCCAAAGTTCATAGCAAATTATTCATATTAGCCAAAGGTCATAACAACCAAATACCCATTAGTAGTTGAATGAATATAGTCTAGTCCTGACATGGAATACTCTGCAGCCAGAAGAAAGGAAATGTACCACTGATACATACTATATCATGGATGAACCGCAGACATTACTCTACATGAAAGAAGGCAGATGCAAAAGGTCACATTTTTTTTATCCCATTTCATTTAAATGAAAAGATCTAAAATCAACAGAGTGGTTGCTAGGGACTGAGGAATAGGAAGCACCTGCTTAATGGGTAAAGGATTTTCTTTGGGGATGATAAAAATGTTTGTGATCTAGACAGAGGCGATTCTTGTGCAACATTGTAAATGCACTAAATGCCACCAAATGGTACTTATGTTAACTGTAGCTCTTCAAAATTATTTTATATGGATCAAAGAGCACTCACTCCAGCCAAGTCTGTCTTTACACATCTCTGCTTCTTTAATTTTGTGTCAAATAAGAACATGAGCCCTGTTCATTTGGTGAAATGTGTTTTCATTTCAGGGACGGTTGACATTCAGGGATGTGGCCATAGAATTCTCCCAGGAGGAGTGGGAGTGCCTGGACCCTGCTCAGAGAGCCTTGTACAGGAACGTTATGTTGGAGAACTACAGGAACTTGGTCTTCCTGGGTGAGGATAGCTTCCGTCTAGAAGTTGGTAGTTACTTTTTATGTCTTTGCATTTTCTATTGAGAGCCACTGATTTGATCATAGGAGTTTCAAATCCTTATTCTTAAGGGAGTGATGGCAGCCATTTTGATTGAGAATGGAAAGGCTTCATAATGTGGCAGATAGACTCTAATTTCCCTTTTCTTCATAAGTTCTGCATTCCTGCTTGTTTAGGTGATTGTAGAACTTAGAAAAGCTTAAGGGAGGGAACTGGTGATGAGGAGCACTGGGTGTGATATGTAAGTGATGAATCACTAAATTCTACTGAAACCCATACTACCCGCTATATTAACTAACTAGAATTTAAATAACAATCTGGGAATTGGGGAAATAGGATTTTAAATCCTTAAATTCTTAGGAAAGTCAAATTTCACTGACATCTTTAAAGATAAGGCCCAGAGACAATAAAATTATTTAAAGTTGGGGATAAAAAAGAAACCTTATGGTGAATTTTCATAAATACCTGATTCTGTGATCTTGTACTTGTGCTTTTGGTTCAGTAGTTCTTGGAAGAGAACGAGTACTCTGCATACCTGAAATAACCCTTAAGCATTCAGGCAGTCAGTTCATTTAAGTTTTGACCTTTTCCAAGGTCAAGCATTTAACTTATAATACAATCATATTCCCTTAAATGTGCAAGCACAAGCCATATTCCCACATTGCCTTGTGCTTACTCTTGATTTTCTGAATCCAAGTCCTGGCCTTTACTCAGATTTTTCATTGAGCTAAACGAACTATACTGCTATCTCCTGGTATATTAATTTTGAGGATCCAAGCACCTTAGTTTCCCTCCCCACGCTGCAGAAAGACTCATATTCATAAACAATACATATTGCTCAGGGCAGCAGCTTGATTTGATGGTTAGTAGTAGGGCATGTTTTTATGTTTAATAATGTATGAGGCTATGATGAAAGAACATCGTATTTTAACCAATCTATTACAATCTAAAAATTGATCAAGCAGGTTAAGTTAATAACTAACCACAGTTACACAAAATAAGTGCCTCTGGAATTCTAAAAAATTCTTCCTGGAGAACTAAAGACAGAATTTACATTCCATAAGGAACACAGAGTAGAAGAAATGAAAGATATGTTGAGCATCACAGAATTATGAAATATCGTGTTCAGGTAAACACATTTTTCTAAAGATTAAGAATTAAGGAAGATAGACATCCCAATGATTTCATGCACAGTTGTATAATAGCCAGTGTATAGATGCACTCTCTAATCATGAAGCTTCATTTCATTATCCAGTTATATGGCCAAAAAATATGGATAGTGTATAATGTGTGTTTAGAAAAATTACTTTAAAATCAGAGAAATTATTAATATGGAAAATTTTATAGAAAGAAAACTTAAAAACATTGTATTTAACAATAGTGTTTGAAGACCATACTTGAGAAACTTCCTGAGTTCAGTATAAAGTATTATTTGGTTGTGTAATTATGGAATTTAGTATAAAATATTTCCCTTCCAACTCTATTTGATAGGAAGCCCTTCTGATGGATTTCCAATCAAGGAATTATTACCAACAGAAGACATTAATAAAGGAGAATCTTACCACTTAGTGATATTGGAGAAAAATGAAAGCCATGGCATCAAGGATTTTGATCTCAAGGAAGTCTGGGAAACTATGGATGAGTTTGAGAGTCAGTGGGGATATGATGCAAGAAATTACAAAGAAGTGCTTTTGACCCATAACAAAAATCTCACTTGTAGAAGAGACTGGCAACTTAATCAGTCCTCAGTTACTCTTCCTCAAAAGCAGAGTGTTTCTGTAAGAAATAATACATACCAGTATTTCATGGATGATGAGCCATTTATAAGGAATTTGTTAAAACTGGACAATAACCTGAGTGGTGCTGGAAACCAATACATGAACTGCCTGGAAAATACAATTGGATTAAGTTTGCAGGCACACCTGGCTGAACTGCAGGGATTTCACAGTGAGGAGAAAATGTATGGATGTAATCCAGTTGAGAAGTGTGTCAGCAGTGGTTCCTCAGTCTCACCACTTGAAAGAATTCCTCCCAGTACTAAAAACATTTGGAATAAATCTAGGAAGATTTTTAAATATCCTTTGTTACCTACACAAGACAGGAGAGCATACACCAGGGGACTATCTTACAAATGTAATGACTGTGGGAAGGCTTTTAGTAAAAGCGCAAACCTTGTAAGTCATGAGAGAATTCATTCTGGACAGAGACCTTACAAATGTAATGACTGTGGCAAAGCCTTTACGGACCTTTCAAATCTTATCCACCATAGAAAAATCCATACTGGAGAGAAACCTTACAAATGTAATGAGTGTGGCAAAGCATTTACCCAATTTGGAAACCTTACTAGGCATCAGAAAACACACACTGGGGAGAAACCACACAAATGTAATGTGTGTGACAAGGCTTTTATCCGAAGTTCAAGCCTTATGGCACATCAGAGAGTTCATACAGGAGAAAAGCCTTATAAATGTAATAAGTGTGATAAAGCTTTTATCAAACATTCACACCTTTGGGGTCATGAGAGAACTCATACTGGAGAGAAACCGTACAAATGTAATGACTGTGGCAAAGCTTTTGCTGAGCGCTCCCATCTTACTCAACATAGAAAAATCCATACTGGAGAGAAACCTTACAAATGTAATGAGTGTGGCAAAGCATTTACCCAATTTGCAAACCTTACTAGGCATCAGAAAATACACAGTGGGGAGAAACCACACAAATGTAATGTGTGTAACAAGGCTTTTATCGAAAGTTCAAGCCTTATGAGACATCAGAGAATTCATAAGGGAGAAAAACCTTATAAATGTAATAAATGTGATAAGGCTTTTATCAAACGTTCAGACCTTTGGGGTCATGAGAGAACTCATACTGGAGAGAAACAAATGTAGCAATTGTGGTAAAACCTTTGGAGCATTTGTTCAGCCTAAGAAAATCCATGCTGGAGAGAACCCTTATAAATGTAATGAGTGTGGCAAAGCTTTTACCCAATTTTGCAAAACTTACAAGGCATTAGAAAATACACAGTGAAAAGAGAGTATAAACTATTTTGTGTGGTAGTGCTTTTGTTCAAAGCACTCATAGGAGAAACTCATAGGAGAAAGAAACTTTGCAAATAAAATGAGCAAGTACTCAAGTCTTACTCAGCATCAGAGATTCCATCATGGAGAGGAACCATATGAAACTAACATATGTGGCAAAGCTTGTAACCAGGGCTCACACCTCCCCTGATATCAGAATATAAATCTCTGAAACAAAGCACATAAATGGAATGTGTTGAAAGGCTTATCCAAGCCTTACAAATGGAAGGAGTGTGATCAACCTTATAAAAATGTACTATTTTGGGGAGGGGGGTAAAATACGTGAGTGGGATTAAGAGGTACAGACTTCTAGTGATTAAAAAAATATGCAATTTTTTGGTCTTGAAAGAATTCACATAACATGGTAATCATACAAATGTGTCAAGATCTTCACCTCAGGAAACAGTAAAGAATTCATATTGGACAAAAACATTACACGTTTAATGAAGCTGATTGTTAGTTTAGCCAATTCTCTCAATATACTACAATACGAAAACTCACACTAGGGAGAAATAGTTCTATTTTGAGGGTTAGCCAACCTTAGGTGTTAAATTCCACAGAAAATTAAAATGATCAGTGTGTTTCCATGGAACAAGTATATCTGTAGAAAGGCCTAATCATCTTCTGTAAAAATTTTGTTACTTCAAAGACAGTAAAAGAGGGAACAGAGCAAAAGAGACATTTTGAAAGCATTAGCAAGATAATTTAAATCTACGTAATATCTAAAAGGAAACAGTCTAAAGGCCCCTTTAAAAATTGCCACTGATTTTTTTTTAAGTTTTATTTATTTGAGAGAGAGAGGTTGAGAGAAAATCTCAAGCAGGCTCTGAGATGTCAGTTTAGAGCCCAACATAGGGCTCGATTTCAAGAACCGTGAGATCATGACCTGAGCTAAAATCAACAGTCTTACACCTTTAACCATGTGAGCCAACCAGGCACCCCTGTCAATTGGATTTTTTAAAGACAGACAAATGTATATTTCCTAAGAGAAATCCACTTCAAAAATTAAGGACACAAAGTAAATTCTTGCACAAAAGATAAACAGAAACACTATTAAAAATAGAGTAGCTATAGTAAGATCAAAGTTAATTAAAGAGTAACATGACCAGGGTTAATGAAATCTATTTCATAATCATAAAGGGATACATTTACTAGGATGATACGAGAATCTTAATCCATTTTTTTTCACTACACAAAAATACATAATCAAATACTCCCATATCCAAGTCAGAGACTAGAGTCATAATGGTGGACATCCCTTAGTTTACAAACACACAGACATACAGAAACATTACACACAGACCAAACCGATGCATATGTGTAACATACATTCAAATAGACAGCTGTATACATTTACACACTCACATACATACACTCCATAGCAAACTCATACTCATGCACACACTCGGGAAATACAAGCACACACATTTACACACACTCGCCCGTACTCCCACACTCCTGGTCCCGTTTATGTAATTACATTCAGTCTGCAGGCACATGTGTGTCTCAACAATGTGTTCACATGTTGGAAGAATAAAGGAAGCTCCTGATCTTGGATGTCTGACAATGGGGGCACTTTGCATCTTTTTCACTTCTTCCATCCCTGCAACAGCCCCAAAGACGATATTTACCACGTGCAATATCTTAAAGTGCTGTGAGCCTTGCCACTGCAGGGGCAGGTGAACGGGGCAGAGTTGGAAGGTAGCAGGTGTGTGAGAGAGCAGGGTCCAAATGAGGCCAGGGGGAGGGGGTTATAGGTCGTATGCAGAGAGTGTGAGAGCATGGAGGATCAGATGCAAAACTCTTCAAAGGCATATGAGGCCATAGTTCTTGATAAACACAGATAGGTACAGAAAAGTAGGGGGGAAGGGCTAACATGAACCCTGAAGTATGGGATCAGAGTCAGGGACATCAGTATGAGCACAGATTTAGCTATAGATATGCATATAAACTGAGAGATAATGAGAAAACTGTAGATCTGTGTGTGAACAGGTTCCCAGGTCGGTCTACTCACAGGGTCTAACAGCACTGACATCATAGTAGCAAGAACATCCAGCTTTCTAACACTATAATAAATAACACTATAATAAACTTGTTGGAGTTATGGCTGATTCTATGGCAGGAGCAGGGAAAATACAAGATGAGCCTGAAGGATCTTGTAGTGACAGAATGTTAAGAGTAAGGAAGTAGTTTTAAAAAAGTGGGGACAGATCAAAGGGACATAATAGCCAAACCTGCAAGAGCTCCAGCTCCCTGTCACCAAATCTCTGACACCAACTGTGATTCAATGTAATTCTGACTTTATCTGGTGTTAGTAGAGATCCCACAAGTTAAGGGCAAAGTCTTTCCCAGGACAGCCCCCACTTCAGACACCAGTCACGAGCCAGGCATTCCCAAACCTTCTGTACATCTCCAGCCAACTATAAATTTAAGGCTTCTTCCGAACTCTGGGCTTCAATATTTGCTGGGAAGACTCAAAGAACTTGCAAAGTGCTAGGTGTATGACAATCGTGGATAAAGTTAATTTGTATATCGGGACCCATCAAAATGGAGGCCACTCTAGTGGCCCAACCCAAATCACAAATCTAAACCTTAATCAGTCTGCTCTATGACACCCAGCAAAGAAACCAAGCATACACCAAGCACAGTCCTCCAACTCAGCTTCAGCTACCTGAACTTACCCCAGAGCACAGCACCTGCTGGTCTTCTAAGGAAATCCCCAACCTCCTAGCCAATCATGCCCTGTCTCTGCACTGCCTCTTCTAAAACTCAATCTTGCCCCAAATCCCTCAGGAAGACCACTCCACTCCCTGCATGTGAGGCTCTGTCCTCCCCCAAACCAAGGGTTGTCTTCCCTGGAATAAAAGACAGCAAACTCACTCCTAAATTCATTTAGTTTTGTCATTTCCCATTTTAATGTAAAGGATAGCAGTAAAGAGCCAGATGATGGCATCCATAGTGCAAGGTTTGGGAGGATTGCCCACACAGTAGCTTTTGTCCCCCACCAAGAAGCTCCCAGGAGCTTCTCCAGGTGTTGAATCAGGGCTTCACTACCTAGACATGGTTGATGAAACCATTGGCTGTATGACTAAACTCCATCCCCAGCCAGCCTCTTTCCTCTCCCCATAGGTTGGGCTGCTGTGTGTTTCCATCCAATCATGTAGTTGGGTTTCAAAGGTGTCCAGTCCCCCATTGTGAAGTTCTGTGGGGAACCCCTGCCCAGAGCTGCCTCCTTAGTGTAATAAAGACACTCCTACCACTCAGGAAATCTTAAAGATTTCTGAGTCAGGAACCCAAGACAGAGACCAGGTGAGTGTGTTTGTGTGTGTGTGTTTATTTTTGGGAGAGAGCGCATGCATACACACAAGAGCAAGAGGGGCAGAGAGACAGGGAGACACAGAACCTGAAGGAGTCTCCAGGCTCTGATCTATCAAAACAGAGCCCAATGTGGGGCTTGGACCCACAAGCTGTGAGATATGACCTGAGCTGAAACTGAATGCTTAACTGATTGAGCCACCCAGGCACCCCCTGAGTGTGTATTTTATACCACAGCTTCCAATGACCAAAGCCTGAACAACCTAAGTAACAAAATAAATTGCACTGCATAGAATTATAACACTAAGTATAAAATAAGTATAAATGAGTTCATGTTGATATGAGTAACTAATTGAATAAATAAATGAGGGAGACGTGATACATAAGAAGAATGGCAAATAATACATGGGATTACTTAGTCCTCCAGGATGTGGAGTTTAATTCAACAGCCCACCTCTACCCTCAGGCACCAACCCCCAACCCTTCCCCACCACACACACTTGACTGTGGGCTGTGTTTAGAGTTTCCCAAGAATACAGTGTGGAAAGCATGCATGGTAATTTCATCAGAGGAGGATTCTGATGAACAAGACCTTAACTAACTGATTAAGATTAACATCATCTAAAGTAAATTGTGTTCTTGCATGAAACCCCTCAGACTGTATGCTGTGATGAGATGTGATTGTCTTCCCAAAAACCCATAAACCCAGTCTATCCATGAGAAGAACTTCAGGTTGCCTGGGTGGCTCAATTTGTTGAGGGACTGATCTTGATTTCACCTCAGGTCATGATCTCACAGTTCTTGGGATCAAGCCCCAGGTTGGGATTCTTTCTTTCCCTTCTTCTGCTCACCTGTCCTCTTTCTCAAATAAATAAACTTAAAAAAAGAAAAAAGAAAACTATTGAGAAATTCAACTTTAGAGGCACTCTAAAATGTGAGGGACCAGTACTCCTCATACCTTTCAGGAAAAACAAGGGAAGTGTGAGAACATGTCACTGAGCAGAAGAGACTGGGGGAGACAGAGCACTGCATGTAATGTGAAATCCTGGATTGGATGCTGATCGGGAAGAATGACTGTGTCAAAACAGTTGAAATGTAAATAAAGTCTGGAGTTTAGTTAACCATGACATACCAATCTGGGTTCCTTAGTTTTGACAAATGAACCATAGTAAAGTTAAGATGGTGGCATTGGGGGTAATCGGTGAGGGACATTTTGGAACTCTCTGTGTTATCTTTACAAATTTTCTGCAAATCTAAAGTTATTCCAGACTAAAATGTTTACCTTAAAAAACTTGAAAATGGTTATGATTTATTGACTAAAATAAGATTAAAATATTTCTTTAAAAATTTTTTTGTTTATTTTTTGAAAGGGAGAGAGAGAGTGCGAATGGGGAGGATCAGAGAGAGAGGGAGACAGAATCTAAAGCAGTCTCCAGGCTCTGAGTTGTCAACACAGAGCCCTATGCAGACCTTATACTCACGAAATGT